TTTAAAAATAAAGTCCCGCTGGATTTCTTGCTGGTTCTTCCCAGGACAGAGGTTTTTTTCGAACCAGTGGTAATCAAACAAAAGAGTGACTTTCAATAAGTATTATTTATAATCTATATTGAATAAAAAAGTTTCTGTTTCTGTTTCTATATATAACACGTGCATATCTCGTAGGTTATAGCTTTCTCTTTATCTCTAAAATAATATTATATAGCGTCTCACATTATTTAGATATTACATATAATGCTCATTATGATAGGCTCCCCCAAAAATCTTTCAGACTGATTACGTTCGTTATCATTTTCTATCAAAGTATTTAGTATGGACTGTCTTGATAGGTCTTCAATGACGTCTTTAGTTGGTAATCGATCAGCGCTTGCAATTAATCTGCGATATAAAAATATTTTGTGTACAATTTTCCTGTTTGAAACCTTATATTGCTGATTTCGGGCATTATTGCAACTGGGCAATGTCGTTTGCATCAATAGCCAAAATACTAATTGTAATAAATAAATTATAAAAAATGTATTTTCTATCCGTTACCGTTACAGTTACAGCCTATTGAAGACCACTGCTGAACACAGGCCCCCCCCATAGATTGCCTCATAGGGGGGATATTTGCCATAGTTGCCACGCTTGGCAAGTGGATTAGTAACCGCAGTTTTTTGTTTGTAGTCGTTATTAAGAATACGCAGCTGCCCATCTCCTGATTTGTTTCCCCCTGTCGCATCTAACGACACCCACGGGATGATATGGGGTAGTGGATATTCTTACACCACTACTGGAAGAAGAGATAGACAAGGTGCGCTGGGATATTATAGGATTATCCGAGGTCCGAAGAGAGGGGGAGGACACGGTAATCCTCGAATCCGGAAACTTGTTCTATTACTGCGAGTGCGACCATCTACCCCAAGGAGGTGTCGGTTTTATCGTCCACTAGTCTCTCGTTAACAACGTTGTAAAGATTGGGAGTGTGTCGACGAGGGTTGCGTACCTCATAACCAGAATCACCAAACGGTATTCGCTGAAGGACCTACAGGTTTACTCACCAACCTCAGCACATCCCGATGAGGAGGTGGAGGAAATGTATGAGGTCACCTTCAGAGCTATGTATTCCTCCAAAACCAACTATACGGTGTTAATGGGAGACTTTAACGCAAAACTAGGCACAAGAAATAACGGTGAGCTGAACGTAGGGAAATTTCGAATAGGACCCAAGGCAGCTGGCCGACTTCATGGAGAAAGAGAGACTCTTTATGATGAAATCTTTCTTCCAGAAGCGGCCTGCGGAAAGGACCTGGTCGAGCCTGACGGTTCGACAAAAAAATGAGATTGACTTCATTATGATGCCCAGACGACAACTGTTCGGTGATGTCTCAGTGATCGCGAGGGTGAAAACTGGTAGCGATCACCGAATGGTCAGAGGCACACTGAACCTAAACTTTATTTTGGAGAGGTCACGTCTAATGAAGTCCACGCTCCGTTCCCCTCGTGCTCTAATCCAAAGCACCGAAAACTTTCAGCTTGAGATATAAAATGTTTTCAGTACCTAGAAGATTGCAATGCAGTGGATGATATGAATGACAAGCTCGTGGAAACTGTCCATGCAGTCGGAGCTAAAATCTGCAAGACTCGCCGCAGAAGAACAAAAACTCCGATCACATGAGATTAAAGGTACCATTTCGTAGCCGACCGCAGGCAGCAATAGCAGGCGACGTGTCGTCGAGACAAGTTGTTGCGACATGTCGTGGCGTCATGTCGCTGCAGTCATGATTCCGAACCCGACTGCAGGCGGCAGCAGTCCGTGTTCCAATCTGTTCCCAATGTTCTGTGGGTACTATATTTATGTAAACAAAATAGGTACCTATTAACAAAACCTATTAATAAAATAGTACCTATTTTGTTTGGTACCTATGTGGTACCTTTATGTCATGGCTGTTAGACAGGAAATGAAGCTGCAGTCTTCAGCATATTTGACAATAATGGCAACTGAACAGACAGATCTCCAAATGCATGCGGCGGGATTTACGCAGCTTTAATACAGTTCGTATTGAAGAAGCGATTGAGCGGAACCAGGACTCCAAAGTCTTTGCCGGAAATCTGCCTGCCAGAAAGAGTTCTATGGGCAGCTGTACACATCATCGTTGGAGCCACGAATTGTGAGTAACGATCCGAGAGCAAGTCTTATCCGACACTATTCCGATGATATTTCGGACGTCAGTCTGAGCGAGATTAGAATATGGCTCTCCAGCACCTTAAAAACGGCAAGTCCCCGGGTGAGGATGGAAATACCACAGAGCTTCTGAAAGCGGGGGAAAACCAGTACTTGAAGTCCTTCAGAAGCTTTTTAATTCCATCCTCCATGTCCATGGTGGCACTACTTCGGAGGCATGGAGCAGAAGTGCGGTGGTCTTGTTCTTCAAGAAAGGCGACAACGCTCTCTTGAAGAACTACAGACCGATTTCCCTTCTGAGCCGCGTCTACGTGCTATTTTCGAGAGTCATTACGAATCGTCTCGCACACAGACTCGACTACTTCCAGCCTCCCGAACAAGCCGGTTTCCGAAAAGGCTTTAGCACCATAGATCACATACATACTCTTCGGAAGATTGTGCAGAAGACCGAGGAGTACAATCTGCCATTATGTATTGCATATGAGGACAATGAAAAAGCCTTTAAATCCGTCGTAATTTGGGTGGTGCTGTAGTCAATTCAGCGATGCCAAGTTGACTGTCGATATCTCAAAGTGCTGAAGTATTTGTACAGTAGGGCTACAATGGCTACCCCAGTAGAAACTCTACACCGCTGCAAAGATGTTTTCAAGCGATTGAACTAGAAAGGATACGGTATTAACATCAATGGCGAGTACATCACTCACCTTCTATTTGGCGACGATATAGTCCTTATGGCAGAATCGCTGGAGGACCTAAGCACTATGCTCAATGACCTCAATAGTGTCTCCCAATGGAAAGGTCTTAAGATGAACTTGGACAAAACAAAGATAATGTGTAACGTCCATGTCACATTTATGCCGGTAGTTGTTGGAAGCACTTAGCTCGAAGTTGTTGACGAATACCTGGGACAAATAGTACGACTAGGTAAGTCCAACTTCGACCGATAGGTCAATCGACTGATTCAACTCGGTTGGGCAGCGTTCGGGAAATTACGGCATATCTTCGCATCAGGTATACCTCAAAACTTGAAAACGAGACTAAACAACCAGTGCGTGTTGCCAGTGATGACTTATGAATCTGAGACGTGGTCTTTCACTGCTGGCCGTATGAGGAAGCTCAAGATCGCTCAGCGAGCTATGGAGAGGGCTCGGGGTTACTCTGCGTGATTAACTTAGAAATGACTATATCCGCATTAGAACCAGAGAAACCGGCATAGCCCAACGGATTAGTAAGCTAAAGGGGCAATGGGTCGGCCATATAGCTCGAAGAACCGACAAGCGATAGTAAAAAAGGTTCTCGAGTGGCATCATCGTATCGGTAGGCGAAGTGCAGGGCGACCCCCACTAGTTGGAGTGACGACCTGGTAAGACATTCAGGAAGTCGATGGATGCAGGTGCCTCAGGACCGTGCCTTGTGGCATTCCTTGGGGTAGGCCTATGTTCAGCAGTGGACTTATGAAGGGCTGTAATTATGAGGGTTAGGGTGCATTAAGCATAATTTAAAAATTAAGTTGAGGGCTGATATTTCTTTTCTTTAAACTGCAATACGGAGCCATACCCCCTTTTATGCCACTGTACATTTAACAAGTAGTTACACACGATTAGGGTTGCCATCTCCTAAAATGAAAAAGCCGGACTCGGCGCTCCAAAAAGCCGGACTTTTGGCCCTAAAAGCCGGACAGAAATTTTTAGAAAGCCAAACATACCTTTCTTAGGCCATGCAGCCAAAAAACTCACCAACTCCAACCCCCGAGAAAAAAAGTAAAATACTCCATTACATACGTTAATTGTTTATTAATCAATCACAGCACAGTTTCAAGTGTATATGTTACACAACCCGAAAAAGCCAAACATGTCCGGCTAAAGCCGGACAGATGGCAACCCTACACACGATAGCAAGATGTAGCTCATGCTGACAAAATTTTAGTTACAAAATTTAAATTAAGACACAAAATGGATTAATGCATGTTAATAATTACGCAAATTTCATAATAATTTATTTCAGATACAAATATATCATATACATCTTTTTTGAATTTCATACGATATATATGAGCATAGATATAATATTTACAAGTATTGAACGGAGGAATAAACATGTCAAATTTCACTGTAGTACACATTTAGGTAGGTATTAAGTCCTCTATTTTTACAAAAAAGTCTACCGCTGAATATAGGTCCCTCCAGTTGTAGAATGAATTTGCTCAAAGATCAGTGTATAAGACGTCTTGCCTCTTTGACACTGCTATTGGTATTTTAAGTATCATTTTTTTTATGTTTCCGATAGTTGCCGTTGACGACACCCATGATACGAAATTGGACGAAATACATGCAAGTTCCAATTTAAAAAATGGTGTTTCGTAACGCTTGGTCTCCTGGCTTCAAAGTTACCTTATTTGTGTAGCATAAATAATTTATTACAAGCTTTATAACTTTAAATGTTTGTATGTTAGTTTGTTTAAGTCAAATATTGCAACTGAATTTTAAAACAGTTATCCCCAACCGATTGAGCTGAAATTTTGCATACACGTTTAGGTTGCATAGATACGTCTGCTTAGTGACGTCATTCCAAATACTATATGGCGGACTAGTTATTTTTTCTGTACCCCATGATATAGGTATATCAATCACAAGGGTTTGCTGAGAATACGAAAAATAAAATGACGTCCCACTAAATTCAATATGGCGGACGCCCCAAAATGGCGGACAAAATTTTCTTATTTTCGATTATTTAACTCGGTGCAATAAGAGCTCTCTAAATTCTTTATTCACTCAACAATCTCCTTGAACAGCTTGTGTGCTTGGAATATTGGTGTCGTAATATTAGTTCAATCTTCATCAGTTATAGTGATTTCGTCCTCTGAGGGATCATCAGCAGAAGGTGGGCTACCGCGGTCCGCAGCGTCGGGTGCGGTGCGTCGCCATTTTGCGCGTCGGTTTTGAAACCATGTCTTAACCTGTACGAGAAAGATTGGATTATGAAAAGACCAATTAAGAATCAAAATGCAGATGTGTTGTCATTCGTGAGGACTAATATGTAATGCCTCGTTTTCAGTAAAAGGGTCCCCTGTTCTCTACATTCACCATACGAAACACAGCAGCATTAAGGTGCTATTTTACGCTTGTATTTTATCGTGATCCTACCACGGTCGAGCCGACCCATTCATACACCATACCTAATATAGCTGTCACGTGGCTACATTTTATGTGCAATAAAGATTTTTAAATAAACAAAAAACTTAATTAGGCAACAATAGCTTTTTTTATTAAGTATTTTGAGTTTTTAGCAGGAAATTGCTGCTACCCATCTTTTCTTACAGTTTCTGTCGCCTATTGCAACACCCACGGGATGAATTGGGTTAATGGATACTCCCACTAAACGGGTTTTCTCTTTGTCGTGGCGTTGGGGGTGGGGGCTTAGTAGCTGTGGCTTGGTCACAGAGGGGCTGCCAAGAGGCGTCCAGCGTTGGTGGAGCTGCAGATGTGTGCGAAAGCGTTCCCGTCAATATGCGGCGAAGATGGTAAACCATGGAGTTTTAGTCGGTGTGAGTCCGATTTAGCCCGTCCTTACCCCGGTGAGGTGAGTATGCGTAGGTATTTCTCCATGTAAAAAAAGTGGATATTCGTACACGCCACGGACGGACGTTACATTGTTATTATGCTATAAGTGTAATAAAGATAGGTTAGAGGCATACTGAAGTCTTACCTGTCTATCACTAAGCCTAAGAGAGGCTGCCAGAGCACGTCGTTCATCAGGACTGAGATATTTGCTAGCGCTGAACCTCCTTTCTAGGGCACCTGTCTGTGCCGCACTGAACCGAACCTGTCCTCCTTTCCGTCGCCCACCCAATCCCCACCAAGGATTGCAGCAGGTCGGTGGAGCTGCGAACAAAAACTCTGCGGTAATTTGAAGAACTCTCAGTTCTTGTAGTTCTACTTTGTCTCCATATTTACGCGGTAGAGCCTAGCTGCAACTGTTTATGGTAACAGCAAGAATGGTACGACCAGGTAAGGAACACGCTCCTACAGAATCCCAGTAGGAAATATCAGCAAAATCCTGCTGTGTTTCGTGCGCCTTGGGCTGAGAACCGGAGACTCCTTTTATTGTTAATGGAAACGTAGTCCTTACGGATATGGGATAGATAACGCGTTTCGAATCCTAATCGAGGATACATATAGGAGTCTATCATATTGTTGCGCGGCCACTATTAATGTCTTGCACATGGCAACACTAGTTACCACTAGCGCCATCTAGTGTCGAGTAGCAGAACTAGGAGAGTCAAAATCCTTCTAGAAATTTCGGGACCGATATGTACTCGGACATTCTAGATGCCGCTATAGTAGAAGTTTCTGGAAACTATCTGAGGCCCTATATAAGGCCGTTATAGACCACGACCGAGTGAGTACTGAATTGGCGATACAAGCGAATACTTCAAAGCGATACAACTGCGAACTTAAGTGATGAGTAGTACAATTGTGTTTTATTATTAGTATGGTTTTAAGTTGTAATTAGTGTTCTGTAATTAAAGTGTCAATTTTGGTAATTCAATCGGCAGTTTTAACTGTCTCGAACCACAAGGTCGTAACAATATCATATTATCATGTAAGGGTCGCAGCTCACAGCATTCATTTAATGCAGGTGGAAGGCGGCTCGCTTGTCACTCTTAGGTCCGCTTTTTCAATTGTCAGAAAAAAATTATCTAGGTAGACGTAGATGAACACGTATTGAATTAAGACTCATCATCAGAGATCATGAGAACATGCGGTGATTTGTAGTTTGTTACAAATTCAACTAATTTTTCAACCGACTTCAATCAATTCGACTATATGTCTTTTTATGTGTGTTACCTCATAACTTTTTTCTGGGTAAACCGATATCGATGATTCTTTTTTTATTTGAAAGCTGGCGCTTCACGTGCGGTCCCCACATGTTTGATCAAGGTCTGACCAGTAGTTTTGAGTTATTCTTAATAATTTATATAGAAGTCGGTTGTACAAAATTTTTAATTTTAAATTATCTATACATGCTAGCACGAATAGTTCGGCTCAACCGGGGCCACGCTCTCACAGCATACCATAGAAATAGCAGCTTAATGCTGCTGTGTTTAGTCAAACCGAAACCCTTTTAACTGGAAATGAGGCATTTCAACTTACTGTGGGGTGACGACGCATCTGCCTTTTGATTCCTAATCGAGGATAAATGTAGATGTCTATGGGCTACGGCATTAGGTGGACTGTGTGATTGTTTGTCACCCTTATTCTTTACAAAAAAACTTAATAAAATTTAAGTTTTACTGCGTGTGTTTAAAGCTTTCTTTTCTGTTATTGCCAGATAATCATAATAAATAGACAATACCGTCTTTTTACACTATTTTAATTACAGGTTTGAGCTAGTGACTGTTTCAAGAAAGAAGTCCCGTGGAAAATATGCGAACTTAAATGTAAGTATGGAATAGGACAGCTAACGCTGCGCAGCCTGTGGCGCCAAATGTCTTCTTTCTTAAAATGCATAAACAATAGCTTAAATGTAAGATTATCAATAAATCCCATTATCTAATGATTTCTTATCATCATCATCATCATCATCATCATCATCATCATCATCATCATCATTACAGCCCTTCACAAGTACTCTGCTGAATATAGGCCTCCCTCAAGGAATGCAATGCACTGAAAACGGTTTTGTAACTCGAGCTGAACTATGATATTGGGAAACTCGATAAAATTTGTAAAATCTTGTATACATAAGAAATCTAACGTCCATGTTTCACCTATGCCGATAGTTGTTGGGGACACTGAACTCGAAGTTGTCGCCAAGTATGTTTACATGGAAAAAATAGTCCGACTAGGTAAGTCCAACTTCGACCGAGAGGTCAATCGACGAATTCAACTCGACTGGGCAGCGTTCGGGAAATTACGGCATATCTTTTCGTCAGGTATACCTCAAAACTTGAAAACTATACTGTACAACCAGTGCGTGTTGCCAATGATGACCTATGGAACTGAAACGTGGTCCTTCACTGCTGGCCGTATGAGGAACCTCTAGGTCGCTCAGCGAGCTATGGAGAGGGCTATGCTCGGGGTTTCTCTGCGTGATAGACTTAGAAATGAGGATATCCGCAGTAGAACCAGAGTTATAGACGTAGCCCAACAGATTAGTAAGATGAAGTGGCAATGGGCCGGCCATATAGCTCGAAGAACCGACAACCGATGGGGAAAAAAGGTTCTCGAGTGGCAGCCTCGTACCGGCATGCAGGAAGTCGATGGATGTAGGTGGCTCAGGACCGTGCTTTGTGGAATTCCTTGAGGGAGGACTATGTTCAGCAGTGGACTTGTGAAGGGCTGTAATGATGATGATGATGATGATGAATTTCATAGTTAACCACGGCTACTTTCGGTCTGGAACAATGAAAATATAAAAAACATACAATTTTAAACGGTATTGGAAGACATTATATAATTAGTATAATATACAAACATACAACTCTAAACTCTTGTCAGGTATGCCTCAAAACTTGAAAACGAGACTGTACAACCAGTGCGTGTTGCCAGTGATGACATACGGAACTGAGACGTGGTCCTTCACTGCTGGCCGGATAAGGCAGCTCAAGGTCGCTCAGCGAGCTATGGAGAGGGCTATGCTCGGAGTTTCTCTGCGTGATAAACTCAGAAATCAGGATATCCGCAGTAGAACCAGAGTGACCGACATAGCCCAACGGATTAGTAAGCTGAAGTGGCAATGGGCCTATCTAATGGTTACCTATCTTATAAATGGGTGGAGGCAGTAGAGTCTAAGAGGGAGGCGTTGGCCGTTACTTTGGAAATAGCGAAGGCCTTCGATCGGGTTTGGCACAAAGCGCTTCTTACGAAGCTCTCTTTCTATGGGCTTCCCGAGAAATTGTGCAATTAAATCACCAGTTTTCTTGCAGATCGAAGGATCAAGGTCGTCATAGATGGTGCATGCTCCGATTACAAACCCATTAACGATGGTCTTCCACAAAGCTACGTGCTATCGCCAACGTTGTTTCTTCTGCATATCAAGACATATTGCACACCGGTAACATTAATTGATATGCGGATGACAGCACTGGTGATGCTCTATACACCGGCTGTGCCAATATTTCTCGGTAAAACGTCGCCGAGTACCGGTACAAACTTGTGTCTGAAGTCGAGTCTTTGCTGAACAAAGTCTCGGATTGGGGGCGACTAAATCTAGTCCGGTTCAATCCTTTACCGCTAAGTTTGCGCCTTTTCCGCTAAAAAGAACCCCTTCGTCGTATCTCCTCAGTTTCATGGCACTCCCCTTGTTGCCTCAGCCAGTATCAAAATCCATGGCGTCGACATATCGAGTCATGTGCAGTTTCGTGGTCACTTGGAAGAGAAGGCCAAATTGGCCTCTAAAAAGCTTGGCGTGCTCAGCAGAGCGGGACAGTATTTCATGCCGGCACACCGCTTGCAACTTTACAAGGCGCAGGTTCGGCCTCACATGGAATACTGTTCCCATCTCTGGACTGGGGCTCCCCAGTGCCAGCTCCTTCTATTTGATCGCATCCAGCGCAGAGCTGTTCGAATCGTCGGCGACCGAACTCTTTCCGATCGGCTTGACTCACTGGCACTGCGAAGAGATGTCGCATCCTTTGCGTATTTTATCGCATTTAGCACGGGGAGTGCTCTGATGAATTGTTCGGACTAATTCCAGCCGCACGATTTCACCATCGCATATCGCGACAAAACTCGCGATACCATCTATACCATCTGGATAACTGGCGGTCCACCACTGTGCGATTTAAAAGAAGTTTTCTTCCTCGCACAACTTCCTTGTAGAATTTTTCCAGCGATTTTTCCGGACCGATACGTCTTAGAGACCTTTAAGAATAGAGCGTACTCCTTTTTAAAAGGCCGGCAACGCATTTGCAATTCCCCTGGTGTTGCAGTTGTTTATGGGCGGCGGTAGTCACTTGCCATCGGGTGGGCCGTGTGCTCGTTTGGCCCCTCTCCTATAAAAAAAAAAAAAACTAAATGCCTGTATACGTCCCACTCCTGGGTACGGGCCTCCTCTCTAATAGGATTATACTACGTTTTACGGGCAAGGAGATAATGTTGTAGTATTTTTTTTATAGGATAAGGGTGACAAACGAGCACACAGTCCACCTGATGGTAAGTGGTTGCTGCGGCCCATAGACATCTACATCTATCCTCTATTACAAATCAAAATGTAGATGCGTTGTCACCCGTGAGGACTAAGATGGAATGCCTCATTTCCAGTAAAAAGGGCCTCCGGCCACCTGCACTCACCTAGCGAAACGCAGAGGTAAACCTCTGCTTCACGCTGGTTTTCTGTGAGGTCGTGGTACCACCCCGGTTCGAGCCGGCCCATCGGTGCGACAGCAAAAGCTGCCGCGTGGCTCTACCACTGTTTGTAGTATCCACTATTATTCGAGTAGATTCTATATTTCAGTAATTTTTGTGCGGTTCAATTTTTAATTTTAGTTCGGATCGATCACACTATGTTTGAAAATGATTTAATATGACATGTTATCGGTAAATATTAAATTGACGCAACGAGGCCACAATGTAAACTCATGACTAATTTTTAGGGTTCCGTAACCAAACAGTTTTACGGAGTTCCATTGTTATTTTATCTTTATTAATTTTATATTTCGAACAGCATCAGCCATAAACTTAAGAGTACTTACATAAAATTATAATGTTGATAGGTATTTGAAATAAAACATCGCGTTATTTAAATACACAAAAAAAAAACACAAAATCTAATACCTATTTACATACCTACTGCGTGCTCGTGCATAAAAGCATGCGCGCGCGCGCGTGCGTGCGTGTGTGTGTGTTTGTGTGTGTATGTAATAATAGGGAGCAAATTG